TTCTGTCACAGCCAATGCTTGCTCTTCAACTTTCGTCACCAACCACGGTTCTTCCGGTTCGACACTTTGAGAACATCGATGCTGGTGTGGAATTTTCACCAATCGATAGCCCTTTTACATGCAATCCTTTCTACAGATTGCAGCGCATGTTTACTCTTTAGCCAAAATAAACATCGCTGTCAACTTCATCTAAGTCGGCACTATCTACAGCTAATCTGATCGCAAGGATACTGACTACTACTTCTTCGTTCTTTCTATTTTAGGCCCATTTCTTACTTCTTGGGCTGAGTTCCTTCTGTGCCTCATTTATCTCGTGAAGGCTACTCGCTATGCTACCGTCAAGCGCATAATTACTTAGCTGCCTGCCACTGTACCCTAAGTTCTCGCTCTAAACCAGTTACTGGAACGTGCAGCGGAATATCAATTCCATCTCTGTCTCCTATCCGTCAATTACGATCCATCATTTACTTTGGAAGCCAGCCTGCTTCCTCGGTCGCTGTTCAACAGCAGTCTTGTTCGTCGGTTAGCAAAAAAACTCGCTCACACTTGTGAGGATAAGAAAGTTGTTCGTATGGTCGTTCACATTTTTCTTGTCAACCCCTTTTTATAGCAAAACATCTCGACTTTCTCCGCTTGATGGCGCGTTTTCTTAAATATCCTATATCCTATATTTATCCTACATTTTAATATTTATCCTATCCTATATTTATCCTATATATTTATCCCACAAATATCTATCCTGTATTTATAGAGCAGAATTACTAACTTGTCTGATGCGCGATACGCCGTATAACTCGCAGCATTCATTCAGATCTTCTATTGTTTCCTGAAAATATGCGTAAACATTGGGATATAAGCTTAAAAACTTAACTTACCACTACAAATCGGATTCGATATAAAAGAATAGGGCTACTTGTTAGAAGGCAACAAAAGCAAGTAGATCGTATCAGTCCCTTGATCCAAAAACTCTTGCCAATTCCAGCCAAGCAAGCAAGGCGTCCAAACTTGATTCCCACCATTTATTCGAAATGATGCCCATATTTTTGCTCGATTTCTTATCATCTTTGTGTTTTTCAATTTTTCTAAGACAATCAGCAACTACCTGATAATCTTTGCATTACTTTAACAGATTAAATGGCATAATTTTTCCTCGCTTAAGAAAATTACGCACCCTTTAATTTATGGGGACATCATTTTTCACTGCCGCAAAATTTGGAATGGCCAAAACGAGAGAGAACACGTCTCTAATATCAAGAATACCAAGACTGCTCGGCCTGTCAGTGTGGTTATCCCCTGTTAAAGATTTTACTCGGATGTTTCCATACGCCAGGAGCAGCTATGGCAAACCGTCCGATCTTTGGTTGCATGCCTTCAGTTAGTACCCATCGTTTGTTCTGTGAACTTGCGCCACCCTTTTAAGGATTGCCCGAGTAGTCGCTCACTTCCCCGTGGGCACCACTCACTAATGCGCATTATTCAACGGTTGTCAGCAAGGCAAGCAATATTCCCAACCCAACAGAATTCACTTTCTCGTATGGATGCAATGATATCTTGAACGCTGCTCATTTGGCAGAAAATCTGATTGTTTATATGGTCACGGAGAGATACGCTAAGCATTTTCAGACATGCCGTTTTTAATAAAATTAGAAAAAGAAAAGTTCTTATTGAAGGGGAAATGTTACAGAGAAATGATTAGAGACAAGTCCAAAAGTACGCTTGGAAAAACCTTACTTTATCCGGATCAAGCTCAATCAATTCAGCGCCTTTCGCAACACATATGTGACGTAAATTTTCCGACCAGCTTTCTGCACTGTCCAGTCGTTTGCATACCACTATCTACAAAACACACATTATTACTTTTCATTTTTTTATGCGTTTTGTGCTGTGTAACAGCAGCACAAAAAGCATATTGTCACAGGGTTGTCTGTGTGTGTTTGTGTGTTTGCCCGCAGCAATTTGTCCGCAACTTTCAACTCGGGAACCACAAACGCTAGGAAGTTGAAAATTCAGGGGAACGTCCCCCACCCACGTGTGACCCTTTTGCAAATTTAAATTCAGCTTCCCCGTACTCGCGGGTAACACGTACGGCCCCGTGAAAGGGTTTTAAATGTCTCAGGAACCACCGAGTCTAGGAGGCTGAAACTTTACGGCAGTGACTCCCTGCCCACGCTCAACCCTGCCCATTCAAACTCAGCCTTCCTGCATCCGTGGGTAACACGTACGGTCCCGTGACAGTTTTTCACGGGTAAGTTAATATCTCCGGAATCACGGAGTCTAGGAGGCTAAAATTTTAGGGTAATGACCTCCTGCCCACGCTCAACCTTGCCCATTCAAATTCAGCGTTCTTGCACTCTCGGGTATCACCTACGGGCTAGTGAAAATTTTAGGGTAAACTATTAACTCGGGAATCAAGGAAAGATATTCATTCTTCAATGTTTCGAATTCAATTTTCATGCGCTGGTGCATGAAATTTTTAACTTTCTTCCAATGTTTGAACTACTTTTGCATAGACTAAAGTAAAAAGCAGTGAAAATCATTAATAGGCAATCGTTCGATGGGCTGAATTGCACAAACGCATGACCGCACCGGCTAGTCAGGTGCGCGTTGCTATTTATTAAATCAAATATGCGTGGGGAAAACTAACAGAGGCGCTCCTCAAGAAAAAGAACAGATCCCAATCTTTGGAATCGGAACAAAATTTGCTTAAATTCACAGGAAATTTGTCTAAAAACTCAAAAATATCGGCATTTCTTACCAGTACTTCAGCTTGCCATAAACATAATTGCGCCGTAAGCTGCTCCGGCGTCCCAAATTCACCCTCATACCGAAAGATAACGGCGCCAACACTGCTGTCGTTCGATGATGAGGAGTGCCACTGTTGCGCTTCCTCCACAGTGTTCAGTGAAATTATCTTCACACGAGCCGAGTAGTACTTGGTGTCCAGCAACAACTCATTTTTGCTCGCCGAAGAAGCACTTTCGTTTTCTGCAACGAAAATCCAATAACGGCCCTTAATTATTGCCTAAGTGAAGTATTCGGCACAGATAAAATAAATGTATACGACTTCATGGACCGAAACATTTCGTTTTAGTTTATACCTTTGTAGTTTTCAATAAAAGATTTGACATTTAAGGGATTTTCAGATTGGGCTCCTACTGGTGTTTTATCCTTAATAATCATTTTTAAAAAATTCCTCTCTAAAATTTTTTCAAAAAATTTCGTAAGTCCTGTACATAATTCTTAACAGTCTTTTTATTTTTTATGCGTTTTGTGCTGTGTAACAGCAGCACAAAACGCATATTGTCACGGGGTTGTCTGTGTGTGTATTTGTGTGTGTCCGCAGCAACTTGTCCGCAACTTTCAACTCGGGAACCACAAAAGCTAGGAAGCTGAATAGGGTAACGTTTCCCACCCACGTGTGACCCCACAAATTTAAATTCAGCTTCCCCGTACCCACGGGTAACGTGTACGGCCGGACGTTCCCCACCCATGTGTGACCCCGCAAATTTAAATTCAGCTTCCCCGTACCCGCGGGTAAGACGTTCCCCACTCACGTGTGACCCTTCAAATTTAAATTCAGCTTCCCGGTACCCACGGGTAACACGTCCACCCACGTGTGACTGCACAAATTTAAATTTAGCTCCCCCGTACCCGCGGGTAACACGTGTGGCCCCGTGAAAATTTTGACGAGTAAACAATTAACTCGGGATAAAGATATTTACCCTTCAAGGTTTCGAATTCAGCTTTCATGCGGTGGTTTGTGAAATTTTTAACTATTTTCCAATGTTTGAACTATTTTTGCATAGATGAAAGTACAAAGCAGTGGAAATCATTAATAGGCAATCGTTCGATCGGCTGAACTGCACAAAACGTATGATCACATCGGCTACTCTGGTGCGCGCCGTTATTTATTTCTAATTAATCCAATACAACAGACTCCCATACCAGGCCAGAAAAGCAACCATACGTGATATCAAAAAACCATGGCTGTTGCT